ATTAATAAATATTAATAATACACTTTGACAGCTGAGATTTATTTCTAAACAAGGCATATCAATGTTAACTCCCATATCAACCTAATGATCTATTGGATATGTCTTTTGTTATAATATATGCATATACATATATATATATTTTATTTAATTCTTATCGTGACGTCTTGTTATCCTTTTCCAGAAAAATATACAGATAAAGATTTATTTCACATTTTTTTAATGTTAACTAATAAATCAGATCATAAAAAAAAAGGCTGTTGTATTCATAATGAATTACAGCCCATTATTGTACAATGTATATATTCGGGGATTTAATATGTAATCGCAATTACATAATTAATATCTTCAAGTACGTGTATAAAGCCACATTAGTTTAAATTTATGTTCAAAAGTGTATTTTAACAAAGAAATAGTTTTAGCAACTGTTGGCTTATTTTTTTTTTCCAGTATCTCAAATATGTTTTCTTTATAATTTCCTTTGATTTTTTCCTTTGTCTTTCTTGTTGAGTCAGAATAAGCATTATATTCTTTTCTTGAATATCTCTTTAATTGACAACCTCCATTGACATTACTGACCGTTGCTGTGAAAATGAGAGTATGGCTAGGGTAAATTATTACCAGAGAAAAGCGTTCAAAATCTTTAAGCAGTAGCGTATCATGTGAAACTTCTACTTATATAATCCATGATGGTAGTATAAAAAGGGTTTAATTACTGGTTTGTATATTACATAAAGTCTGCAGAATAGTCCTCGATTCTCAAAAAGATTTGAAAACACTTTTTTATTTTGTTCATTTCTATTAGACGTATTGCTCACTAAAACTGTATGTATAGATATATTATTTTTCTGCCTTTGTTGTATAGGGTAATGATGTAATATGTAGTAAAAGTCGTATTAGAGCAAAGAATGAATGCATGAGCGATATTAGTTATATTATTTGATTCAAGTTCATAATGCATTCTTGTATTATGAGTATAATATATAAATACAAATATTATGGAACAGTGATGAGTCAGATATAGAGTAGAGAGTTACTAATGATAAATAATATGTGTATTATAGAGTATATACATATTCTTATTCATTATGCTAATTTATAAATGTATAACCATACACTATCTATAATAACTTTATCCTAGTTGAATACTACACTGTTATATTGTAAAGTGAAATCCATTCAAGTAATTTACATTGAGGCATGAATATAGTATAAGGGAATGTTTATAATATAAATATACATTATAGCGTCTCTACAAGTATATGAACAAACGAAATTTCACTATCTGATAACTGACTGACTGACTAGATCAAGCACCATGACTGAGATGGATTATTTTCGATTAGGGCATAAATAATAAATATCAAGCATTATAACCTTAAATTATTTATAAAATACGCTCATCCTTGGATATGTCAATATTTACTATAAATCAATGTCAATACGTTAGAAATAATAATTGATTCTACTTCATCAAGAAAAAAAAAAATAGAAATAAACAAGCTAAACAAAAAATATTAAATGTATTAAATGAGAAATAAAAATGAAATAGACAGTTTATACTGATTGTAGACTTACTTATTCTCTCTGTTAAGATTTGTATAACTTTTCAAATGAATAAATTACAAACGATTTTAAAATGATGGAAGGGAAATTAATATATCCATAGATGAATAAATATTTGTAAATATTTGTGACCAATGAGCACATGGCAATAAAGGCTGATTTGTCCTAAAGAAATAGATGATAGGAGCCAAAAATTCTTTCAAAGCAAAAGGTGAAAAAGTAAAGGCTTAAACTAGAAGAAAATATATGTAAAAAAAGAAAGAAAAAAAAAGAAAAAGAAAAAGGGTTCATAGAGAGTTAGACTGAGATAAGCATACAATTAAACGTATGGATGGTTAATGGATGAGTTAAGGAGAGGCTAGGTTAAAAGGCTCGCTTCTATTTTATTTTTTTATTTTTTGTAGGGAGGCTATCAAGTAAGGAGGAATAAGGTTCATTAATTACTTTGTATATTATCAACTGTTAAGGTATTACAACAAGCTGAAAGGTATTTGAAATAATGATCTGAACGCCTTTTAATCAAGTTTTTCATGTTGTATTCCAGTTATTGTATTAACTTTAATTACAACAATAGATACTACTAATACATCTATGTGATCTAATCCTTATGTCTAAATATATCATCAAGATACAGACACCAATATATGTATGTATTTCCACTTTAAATAGTATTAAGACTCATCATTACTAGCTGTACAATTATTCACAGATCAAGTTATATAGGAATAATAACTACTGGAATAGTATATTTAACTGAATCAACAATCTATATATTTGAACATCTTTAATTAACAAAAGAATGAAAATAATTTATACAAACATCTATTGTATATCAGGAACTCAGCTTTAATTTGTACTCTTAATTACTTCCATAGTGTAACTCAGCAAAGCACGTCTTAAAAATAATAGATATAAATGCTCTTTAATAATAAAATGAAATGAAATGAGAGTTAAACTGGCTTTTGAACTATTTTTGAATAGTTAATATTTGATTATCCATTTATAGTCGTTCTCTTACTCTTTTTTATTGTGTCTTTATCTTTAACACTAAAGATATATTAACAACCATTCAAGTCAACGTTATTGTCAAGATCCGACTTTCTTTTCTTCTTGTTAGCAAACAAGCTGTAGCGTTTAAGTGACAGATTAACCGTCTTGTTTTCATATGCAGTATCGATGATAATGATAGAGGTACTTCGCTGTGTTGGTACAACATCTTCCTTTCTTAGAGCGAACCAAAATCCTTTTGATGCAAATTAAAGCCAGCTTCATTAATGAAAACGCAGTTAGAGAGAGATAGTCAAAATCTTCAAGCTGCTGCCACTCTAGCACCTTACTCCTCAAGTTTTTTTTTTTTTTTTTTAATACTTCTTTGCTCTGGTAACTTTATAAACTTTTTCATCATAAAGCTACATTGCTTAACAATATGCTTATGAATAATAGACTCGGTAATTGCCAAATCTTTAAAAGACTCACAAATTGCAGCAATAGCTTCGTATAAGGTAGCTCTAAAATTGTTCTTGAAGAACTTTACCAAAAAAGGAAGTGTGTTTCTTGAACAATTTTTGCTGTCTAAGCCTTTGTTCTTTCATCTCATGTATGGCCTTAGCAACATACTCATCTTTACTGTCAGCTTCAATAACTGCTGTTTTTTTTATGTCTAATTGGATTGTATCTCTGGGCTAGTATGACATAATACTGTCCAATACAAACTTCGATGACGAGAGTTCTCGAAGCAAATGGACGCATATTGACCCTACAACAATGTGAGTTACAGAAGTTTATTAATTTTCTGAAAAGTTATGGTATCTATATTAAGTTATCAGAAAATAGATAAATAAATATAAAACTATGAAAATCTATAAAAGGACTAGTAAAGTCAACAAGACTGAGCAATCAATGGTTCTAAAAATCGAACTTTTTATTCATAATTTTAAATGATAGGTATTTAAATAAGAATACAATAATATCTGAGATGAGATTAGAGAGGAATTAGAAAAAGTATTGGTAGTTGTGACTGAATAATATTTAGTACTGTTAATGAAGTGAGCAACGTCCTTAAAAATTATAGATAATAAGGGAATATATAAACAAGTTGAAGTCTTTTCTTTTATATTATTTGTTCAGGTACTTTAAATATGGAATTAAATAAAGGGTAATCAACTCTGATTATCTTATTTTGATGATCGTCGAATTACTATAAAAATTCATTTAATGTCAATTCGTGGAAGAAGTATACTTTCAGCAAGCCCCTCAAATTAATTTAGTAGTATCAGGGATTGAAGAGAATTTTTCTCATTTATGGTCTTCCTTACCTTCTTCTTACCAAATAAAGAGGCAAAGCTTGAAAGGTTAAGCAGCTGATATATCTCATTGTGGGGATTTTTACTATTACCGGTAGGTGTCCAGCTCATTTAAATAGCAGCATAAACAAAATTATCGGCTACATTTCACTCTCACATTTTATCAAAAAAAAAAAAAAGTTAATTATTATGATTGCAGTTCAATTTATAACTAAGTTAAAAGAAATAAACCGTCATTTATTGAATAATAAAGAAGTTATCCAGATAAAACTAGTATATTGTACTTTACTACATAATATCCATTCTATAACCAGTTTTAATAATAGTAAACATATTGTCTTATGTAATAATAAAAAATTAATAAGGAGTTATTACTGTTATTTTCAATTTATATATCCATATCTAAAATGATAAATATTATTATGTGATTTTATCACATAAGGTGATAATAAAAGTAAATAATCAGTATTGTTATAGCCGAAATATTCATCATGAATTAATGTTGATGTGCCATTTTCCTAAAAGATAATAACTGCTTATATTTCTAGTACCAGCGACAGCTCAGAGAGGGAATAAAAAATTTTTCAGAAACAACAACGTGCAAAATATTATATACATGTTCTATAATATGTTTTACACTTTTGTCGCCGACAAAGAACTTAATAGATAGTAATGCCCGAAAGGAAAATAGAGTAATAGTTGTTATTATTATTTATTAGATGCTAACATTTTCTCCAAGAAAAGATACTTGATAGTGGGTTGATTTAATTCTTGTTTATTATTTGGCATATGTTTCTAAAAGATATTATTCTTTACTAATCAAATATTTTATTATGAAAAGTAAAGGAAATGAGTATAATTCAGACAATAAAACAAGACGTGAAACTACAAAAGCCGATTCAGAAATATAGATGGTAATAATATATAATTATTTATTAAAGTAAATTTCACTCTCTTCTTTTTCATTATCATAAAAAAACTACTAACTTTGTAATATGAACGCTAACGACAACAACAAGAGAACTTTTGGAGACATGTCTTCAGAGGACAAATTGAGTGGTCACAAAATTACGCAGACACCCCCATTCTGCCCCCTCTAACAACAACAGCGGCAGTGGCATCCCTGCTCATATGATGCAACAAATGCTCGAAAAAATGTCAGAAATGAATTCTAAGATCCTTGAGCACGATCAAAAAATTGACCAACTTACCAGCCAGTTGGAAATGGTGGTTGCTAGCTTGCATCAACTACAGCAAGCTAGAATAACTGTTATTTCCACTGAGTAAGCTGCTGTTGACGATCGCAACACCGTAAAGAATCTTGGGGTAAGTATAAAACCTACATGTTAAAAGAAATATTGTTAATAAAATTATTTTCTATAATATACGATACCAGGTGTTGATCAGACAAGAGCTTGAAAGTTGGCCACTGAGTAAGCAATATGATTACTCTAAAACCTTTAAGGATGAGGCCAACAAGGCACCCCAGGATTCTTTGCGTATGTTTGCGCAAATGCATGCCAGCCAATATCCTGTATCTAAAAGAACTTTAGACAGGATATTGGCTGACATGTTCTACAATAAGAAAAAAGAATTAAAAATGTCAGCAACCAAAAAAGCAGAAAGAAATGCCAAGCGTAAGGCCTATAATAGAAAAATAGCCGTAAGTATAGTACTTTTTTTTTCGTTTATTATATAATATACGTGTATTCTAACTTCCCTTATTACCATATACTAGAAACTTGCTAACAGAAAATCAGTCATTGAGGACAACCCAGGCGATTACAACGACATAAAATATCCTGGCCTCAATGACCTGATGGTTGCTGGCTGGATGTCGGAAGAAGAAGAGACGGAAGAAAAGGACCTTAATGATAATGAAATCATTAAGGTCCTTCGTCCATCATTCAGGAGCAAAAAGGTAATATTAATTTATTGTTAAGATTAATATGTGTATATTATTATATAGTACTTACCTTTTTTTTTTTTTTTATTTGGTAAAGTTTACTGAATTGATGGACAAACTTGACTTCGAGTGGATTTCTCCACTCGAACCTGCTTTAAAAAAAAGAAGAAGCAATCGTTCTGTCAGGCAATATGTCTTGAAAAATATACCCTTCCCCAGCCATCTAAACAAAGATGATTTCCCTGGCTGGGCATTCAATTAATTTTTTTTTTTTTTTTTTTTACCTTGTCTCTGTTTCTTTCTTTTGCTTTTTTTACTTCTTCTTTTTTTATCTATACTTAAAAAAAAATAAAAAAAAATGTTAACTATTAATATAATATAAATTATTTAAATATAAAATCAAAGTTATGATTGCGTTTCAGTCATATACTGATAAGATGATAATAATCAATGCGTCGTTATGATAACATAAGTATATTCGAGTGCAATATAAAGAAAATTCTTCAGAATCAACCAATTGTTCTTCTGGGTAAAGGCATTGCAAGAATAGTGTTATCAATATATTTCATAACAGCCACACAAGTATGAATTTGCTGTACTGGTAGTATTGATAAAGCACTTGATGGTTCAAAAGCTTCTTTCCAAACCTGGATATTATGTATATCGAAAGAATCGAATTCTTTGTCAGACTTTTGATACCATTGAACAAATGCAAATAAATGCTGTTTATTTTGAGGAGTGCCGAACAAGTTATCACCAGGAATAATCAATTCATGAGAAAAGAAGTATAGGATTCGACCTACTCTAAAAATACCCTCTTTTGCAGGAACCATAGCCTGAATAAAAGCACCACGTTTTGTTCTGCTTTCTACAGATCTAAACAATTGTCCAAGTATATCACTGCGATCAAACTTGCAAATGCGGCTGCTCACAATGATATCCATGGACGTTGAGGAGGTAATGTTAGCAATACTTACAACCTTATGTTTACTACTGTAAACAGAACTATAAAAATCTAATAAACATTTAAAATGCTTGCTATTCATAACAATAGGCTTCTTTGATTTCAAAGGAAAGCTTGCGGCAGGAAGTGGCTCGCTACCAGTTAAAACAGCTGTTCTACGAGTTGCATTATCTATAAATGTTTCCAAGTTAAATTTGTCACTATTGTCTTGGTGCTGCGTCTGTGGTTGAATCAATCCATCAACATCCATCATTTCGGCAATATTATCTTCACCTTCATTATTCATTTCAAAATGAGGACTAGTATTACCAGGTAAAAGTTTTCTAAGGATACCCATCATGATGGTATTGTTCTTGATTATATCAGGCAGTAGTTCCATATAATCTTGCATATGAGCACGTTGAAGATATTTCTCCATATACGTAAACTCAAGTCCTTCCTTAAAGTTGATATCTGTCTTCTTTATATCGCCATTTGTTCGTTCAAAACTATATAACCATGTAGAGTACAAAGGGCCAAAATCACGAATAGTTTCATGCAAGTGCAGATACAAATGCATATTTGGAGTTATGAAATCTTCCCCATATAATTCAACATTCTTTTGAACAAATTCAACGAATAAACTATGTGCAGTTTCAATTTCTTTTTTAGTAATTGATGGAGCAGAGAGAATATGATTTGCTTGTACAAACTTCATCCAATTTGACATATGCTGTCCAACAATTCTTCCTTTTAGTAAAATAGCTAAATAGAAATGAAATTTCTTACAGCTTATTCTGCACTTTTCCTTTAGAAAAGGATGGAAGGCAGATTTTTTATCTCAATCCCTTGGTTAATCTATCCATTATTTGATCCAGAGTCATGCCTGAATCATCGTAAGCTTTATTTATTTTATTTTTTTTTTAGCTGTATAATTTATTTTTCGAAAAAATGTGCAAATAATTTTTCCGTTTAGCGTAAGTATTGTATTGTAGGGTCACCACCAAAAGGGTTATCAATCACAGATTGGCAACAACTGCTCAAAAATAACCCAAGCGCGATTAGTGGGTTCAAAGGCGCCGTCAAGTTTTCAGGTAAACTATCCTGACACAGAATAAAGCATTCTGTTGCCCATGGTTTACAAAAGTAGGAGTACGTACCAGGGAGCTGACTAGCTAGAGTATCGATTTTTATTTCTTCAAAGAGTGTTCCAACACATATAATGAGTAGAACTGGCTCTCTGTCGAATTTTGACTTTGCCTGTAGGCAATAATTTACCGCCCTTCTCATAAACTTTTTATTTACATTGTGTTGAATCTTTACAATGATGGGAAGATGGTCTATCAAAGAATATTTGGGCTTTAAAACCACATCTGAGCGAGTCCCATCCTTCCACTCGCAATTGCCAACAAAATAGTCATTCTCTGTACTTGTGATTGCCTCAGTAATATAATTTATTACTTCGGCATCTTGAACAGTTTTTTTTTTTTTTTTTTTTTTTTTTTTTTTGACATCTGGTCTTTTCCTGGCGTTAAATTTGTTGGTAGCAACATATTCAATTGTAATTAGTTATGAAGGAAAAAAGAAACCGTAACCACAACCACAACCACAATTATAGTATAGTAAAATGAGTGTGATACGTCAGTAAATTTAGGGCCTGGTTATTGGCTAGAAGTTTTAATAAAGATTTTGTGGGTTGAAAATAAGTTGTCTTTATTAAAGTTATAATTGTAATCTATATAGTTTTTACTATTTAATCATAAAATTGCTAGAAGGTTCCTGAAGTGTGCTTATAACGAAGTTTCTAGCAAAATGAAAGTTCTAGTATGTTTACAAGATATAATTCGGACACCAATCTTTTCTTTTACCATCTTGTATCTTAATTTTTTTAGGAGGCAGAGGTACTCTCATAGTAATATTAATAACACCTATGGCCGAGATTGCTCCAATTACAGTATGTGATACTGTCTGGTACTTGCAGTAGGGATTACAGATTCGGTACCCTTTCTAGACCATGCTCTACTGCGTCTCATGTTTATATCCATCCACTCTTGCACCCACATTAATCTCTTTTCTAACTTTTTTCCATCGTTACGAGGGTCTGGATGCAATGCGGCAACTTTTAAAGAGAGATTACATTCATTTTTCATAAACTCATGGACTCTAGACTTCTTAATATCAAGCCCTTCAAAAGCTGGTGTCAAACTTTCTATAATATCAGCTATAGCAGCAGAAGGGTTTTCATTAAAAAAATCAATCAAATGTTGTTTGTGTAGCTTCTGAAGCTTCGAAGCAGGCTTATTACTACAGTTAGTCTTTTTTTTTCCATTTCATAATTATCAGGGTCGCTTAGGTACTTCTGATACCAGTGGTTTGCGGTACTATGGCTCACATTGGCTCACGTTGGCTCTAGATACTGCAGCTCGAACAGATAAGCCTTTTTAAAGCCTCCAATAAAAAAAAAAAAAAAAAAAAAAACTACGGGTTGTTCCAACTACGGGTTATTCTATCATGTAGCATATAAATCTGCTCCTTGCCTGAGCCAGTATCTTTCATACTCTTACTATTACCAGCTTCTCTACTGTTGTTATCATACATTTCGACGTCCAAAAAATTGTCTTTTAGGTGCGCCTCAAAATCTGTCAGTTTATTTAAATCATAAGGATTGCCTTCAATCTCGAAATCCATAGCTTTAGTTCCATCTTCATTCGTAATGTTACCGGAACCGTCTTCACGTAAATAAAATAAGCTCATTATGAATTATGAAAAGTAAAAATAAAAAGTAGAAAAAATAATTTTCAGACTTAAGTTCACAGGTTGTTCCAATTGAAGTTTGAAGGGTGTTCCAAATTAAGTTCAAAAAATATACCAACAAGTTCAAAAATTGTTCCATTTGAGGAAGAGTATTAATTTTATTTTCATGTTTACTAGTAAAACGTTGACGAAAAAATCATTTTTTGAGAAAACCACTTAAAACTCAGCAAAAAGACATGTATTATGTACGGAATATTTTCATTACTTATGATGTCTATGTCACTGAAAAAATCGTTTGTTTTTACCCTTCTCAATTAAAAATTTATTTACAGTTTCTCTTTATTTTGTACTTGGTAGAAGATGAGGTTGCTTGTAATAAAGTGGGAATCTAACATCTAACCTTAGTTTGTTGTTGGTAACAGATCTTATGACTGTGCCCCTAGTGACATTATAGTTAGTGTTCTGATGGATACATGTTTGACACTATAAAAGTAGCGCAATTACTGCAAGACACTTCTTGGAATATTATCTTAATTATAAGCTTATCTGAAGATCAAAAAAAAAAAAAAATACAAATTGTCCATCAAAGGTAAAAGCTAAAAAAGGCTCTTCCATGACTATTCTGCCCAGAATTGGAATTTTTTGAACTACTATAACGCCATTTATAACGATTGGAATAAATTCAAAAAATACACTAATATAAAAACTGAATTTAAGGATGATCTTAATTGGATCGCGCAACTATCAAACATTTCAGAAAACATAAAATCATTTGTTACAAAACTTAATGATAATATTCCTGCTAAGAATGAATTAAAAGGTCTTGTAGTTAATGAGGCGCAAAAAAGAAAAACATACCGCCATCAACATATTGTCATAACTGGGGATACGGTGATAGTAGGTGATATAATCAACGGTGATATGATTATTCTGGAAAAAGAAAAGAAATCAAGCAAAATATGAAACCAGATAGAATGGAAGAAGATGATAAAAATAATATAGCAACAGGAGACTTGAAGTATTTTGCTAAATTTTTGATGAAGAAGAAAATGATTACCATCCATGTAGCTTAGAAGCGCATGGAGTTGTTAGGTGCGGTGAAGGTGTCTCACTACGACCCCATTTGAATAGAGTATCATATAATGAATACTGTAAAAACCACTAAAGTAAAAAATTTCTAATACCCTCAGAATGTGTACCATATATTGATGATGTAGTGATAGAGATGATATTATCTCGTTTAGAAGACAGATAAGAAAGATACCTAATGACTGTAGAGATAATGAAGAAATTTACAACTTCCTTAAAGTCTATTTATTGCATCGTATGAATAAACTATAACACTTAAATTTTGGTTATTGACTAGTATATAATCATATTTAATCTTCAATACTATACATCTAAACAAGCTATTTACAATGGTGAACCAACATTCAGCAGTTGATTTATATATCCTTATCTAATCGCAGTTACAAGAGGTGTGACTTTAAATGATTGCTTGGCCGATTTCAAGCCTGGAGAAGCACTCTTAGAATCAATGAGTAAATAATTTAACGCTTTAGGCTCGCGAAACAATGACAAAGGCGAATACAAAGCTGATGGTATTGTCAAACTTTATGGAATAAAAAAAAATAGAGCTGTTACTATTGAAAACATCAGGGCCATTGAACAATAAAGTAAAAAGTAAGATAAACTATGACCATCACAAGGGCGTTTACGGAAGTTTAGCCATGTTGAAAACAGTAGCTGATATAATTTGCTTTGCATCGATTGAATATTTCAAAGCCTTTAAAGTTTACTTTTTACATGCTGGAGGTAACCTTATTGATATGTTAATTATGTTTACAAAACTAAGCCTACTATTTTGAAAAGGAATGTCGTTATACCTTTGGAGTATCCGCTTCACAGAAAGAAGGCTATTATGAGTATGGAGAGAAGCAAAGCTAGAAATATTACCAACTTTTGATGACAGACATAATCATCTTCATAGTTTAATAAAGTTATAGTGGAAAGTAAAGGTTTGAAGTATACATTTGCTATATTAGTTATGTTTATTAATATTTATTTATAATTAGGCTTTAGTAACTAAATTAGTAGAAGTTATTTCAAAATTGAGTGAAGAGCATATTGTTATAGAACAAGCTCTGGATATAAGTATAAGTAATATTATAAAAGATGAATTACATAATAAAGGATAAACTAGAAGCTTGAATATAAAATAAAACACTGTAAATAACGTCCTGTAAATAATATCAAACTTATTGACATTCAATCGTCTAGACGGGTCAATTATAAGGCATAATATAAGTTCTAGATATTTAGTTTTATTAGCGTCTGTATTTAAGTCAAAAAGTTAATTATAATTACCAATCTTTGAGCTTTGTTATTATTAAAGTCAAGTACGTGATATGATAAAAGATAGCATGCACACTTTTATTATATCGCCTTTTCTATGTCTATAGCATGGCGCAAGACATATAGAGGCTGTGCTTGGCCTTTAAAATGAGTAAAAGGAGATGAAAAAAAAATTTGCACTAACATTCTTAAATAATGACGTATGCGGTATATTCGTATGTGGGGTAATCTTTATATAATTGATTGCTTTAGTTTTAAGTTTACGCGACAAATTGGCGAGCAGAACTTTACTCTTTATTCAGGTCAAGTTTTTTTTAGCAAAATGTCTACCATCAATATTACTTCATCAAAAAAAAATAACAATTATTAACAACTACGGAGACACTAATCAGAACAGCAGTACTAATGAAAGAAGACAAAATAAAAGACAGAAAATTAGAAAAGATTTACCAGAGGAGAAGGATACAAAGTTGAGTGGTTTTACCAAATCGGTCGGAACCCTCATAAAAAATAAGGCCAACAACGTTTACAATGGCAATTCTTACCATAAACTTGATGACGCTTCCAAAAATACTATCAGTAACAGCTTCAATAGTATTTTGGATCTAACTGACAATGACGATCATCCCAACAGTCAAAAGTCAGCATTTACAAAAGAGGAGTGGGACACCATCAATAATAAATGGAACGTCAAAAAGAACTGGACCCCCCTCGATAAGCAAATCAAAAGTACCTTGAAAGATATAGAAAAAATGGCAAAGAACAATATTAAAGAGGCATACAAAGAATGCTTGTATTATCAACGAAAGTATGCTATGACTGAAGAAGAAATATTTTTTGAAGTGTATGCTTCTATGTACGTATTTACGTGTTTTTAAGAGATGAGATTTACAATTTACACAATTTACACTCACATCTAGCTTAAAAATAATTTACAAGAAACAGGACATACTTCAACATTCTAGCACAAAATTTACTGAAGAGAATTATGTAGTAGATATATGGTCAAAAGTCTTTTCCTCTGTTTTTGATGATGGAAACCTTAGTTGCAAATGGTAATACCGTATATTTTTACTGGTTAAAAAAAATCACGTTGATACATATACATAATATTTGCTTAAGGGGGACTCCGTTTCAAAAGAATCAACGGTTTCAAAACGACACGAAGGCTCTTCTTCTGCAATCGGAGACAAAGTCGATTTAAGGGTATGTTGCCAAGTGCAAAAAAAAAAAAAAAAAAAAAAAAAAAAAAACAGTTGATTTGATCAACGTGGAGTTTGCGAGGAATATTGGAAAAGATAAATTCTTCACTGACCATAGAAAGTTACTTCGAGAAGCTAAAATCAGTGTTGATCAGCTTTATTTAAGCCCATTCCTGACCAGCCATACAAAGCGGTCTATTCAAGGCCACTGCATTCAAATTTTTGGCGTAGAAGGCCAAATCAATCAAGTAAAGCTTGTGGATGATGGTTTATACATTTCTCGTGGACTCGGCTCTCTTTTCCTCCCCACATGCGGAAGAGATATGTATAAAACTCGTATATTGCTTGAGCGATTGATGAGCATGAAAAAAATGGCCATATCCAACCGCGATTATCATACGGAAATGGTAAACAACAAAGCCATCAACTCGAAGCCCATAAACCAATGGCAACACAGGGATACATCACCATATCAAAATGTGGATGATGAAATTTCCTCGTGCTCATCTTCTTCTTCTTCTGCTTCCGCCAAAGAAACAGATCGTTCCTGCTGGGTTCATGGAACATGGTTTCCGCCTACAAAAAGGAATAGCATCGAGTACAATGGTGACTATCCGAAGTATCTTTTCGCCCCCCCTCCTATATGAGTTCATACAACTGGGTTGTATTATTTTCCATTGATACCTTATCATTATCAAACTTTATTAAATAAAAGTATAAAAAAAAGGATTACAGCAATTTCTAACATGGTTAGATAGCTTTACTTAACAAATACTGAATATAGTGGTACTTTATATATCATCTTCGTTATTATAACTGTATGATCGGTACTGCCTTTTCTATATTAATTAGACTAGAATTAAAAACGACAATATCTTGATAGTGATCGCCAATTATATATCTACTTTATTTTGTTATGTAATTTATATAGGAAACTCGTTCAAATAGTCTTCACCAGGTATGAGTTCGTATATCATACAAAATTTACAAGAAGCATCTAACATCCATTTATTTGGCCCTGAAACTGTCACAACCTGGGTCAATACCAATGGTTTTGCCAATAAATCCCATAAAATTTCTTGCTATGAAATACAACATCAAGATATGCATCTTACGATGAAAGATAATCCTTCAAGAAACGTAATAATCACACTTTATATGTATTTATATACTCATTTCTCTGATACCACACGTATTTAAACGAGATCATCTTTAAAAGATATTGAAAAAAAAATAATGCACATGTTATCTGAAGATAAAGCCACTTCCTCTCTATATCTATATAACCTATCATATTCATGATCTCTCTCTACCTAGATAATAGAAAAGATCACTAGCTTATTAACACTTTAAAGCGAAAACGTAATGATGAAAATCTAGAATTAAGGAAAAAAAAAAGGAAATTTGATCAGATTAATATAAAAAGTGAAGAGATCTCTTCCTTTGTATTATTATTATTTATTGATTATTTTAAATTCTTCTCTTATTTTTATTTAAAAGCTCATCTATTTTTACATGTTTCGCTCATTGTTTTTATCTATTTTTTTTTAAAAAAAAGGCTCTTTCATTTATATACACTTATACTTGTATAAATTACGTATTTCCATTTCCTGCTTGACGAAACAGAGAGATGTTTTCATTGATTATTTTTCTTTATTAGCGTTGGTTGATATATTTCTTTATCAGATTTATTAGTTTTATTGTCTGAGAAAAAAATAAGATCATTCAAAGGATTTTCAGAAAAAATATAAACGTTATATCTTTATAAAATTCATCCTTCTCGAAGAAAAAAGAAAAGAAAATCATAATGTTTTAATTATTACAAGCATGGTTAAAAGAGTTAATTATTCCTACTATCTTGCGTTTTGATTAATCAAGAATAACGCCTGCTATCAGATTACATTACTTATCATGCCTCAGTTTTTTTTTTTTTTTTTTTTTTTTTTTTTTTTTTTTTTTTTTTTTTTTTTTTTTTTTTTTTTTTTTTTTTTTTCAATCAGATGAATAGGGTAGCAATTTGATTTAATTAATAACTGTTTAGTTAACTTAATAAACCAGATGCCATTGAAATAATATCCGCTGTATCTAATAAAGGATCAAGTTGTATTAGTAAGTTTAAACATAAACAGAAATAAATATGTACTGCTTAAATCAGTATTATATGTCAGTATTAGAATTGTAACATAGAAGCTGCAGCAAACATGAGAGCAAATCTGTTTAACTTACCCAGGTTAAGTTTGATTGAAGTCTAAGATTTCGTTTAATGCTTTGTCTACAAAAAATGGGACGAGTGAAAACAATAATACTCCATCAGCAGGCAATTTTGAATAATTGCACCGCAAAGGGTGACAGTGTAATTGTTTTGTTTTATATATTATACTTCAGGTAATCTATTGAAATACAATTATATAACAGAAATTAATATAAATAACCCGTAAATATAACAGTAAAATTTGAATACATACCATTGATGGTTAAACATCTCACTTGTGTGCAACAAAGTATTGGGTATGGGCACGAAAGGAAGTTGCTGGTCTATAAGCATTCAGGAATTTTGTCTAACATGTCAATTGCTATATAAATCAAATAATCAAGCATTATTGTACTTTTTTAAAGTCTTTAGGTCTATGTAAAATTATAATTTTAAGCAAGTATACTAAAGCATTAGCCTAACATTATCATTACTCTAAAGTATGCGTTCAGAAATACACATGAGGTAGAAACTAACATGTTTTTAGAGTATTCATGATATTATTCGCAGTCTTAGAGAGGGACACGAGTAAGCAGAGAGCCAGTAGAGCAAACTCATTTTCAAGGTATACATCTAATTCCATTTGGGAATTTCGCAAGCTATTACCCTTGAAAAGATTCCCTCATGCAACATAAGCAATTATGTTTAATTTTAATGCCATGTAATTCTTGAAGCTGCATAAATTATTAGCCAATTAAAATAGATACAAATGTGCACCTTTTCTCACATATAAAATAAAAATGTCGTAGCTTTTTGTTCCTTTTTTTTTCTCCTTATGACACGACTAATCTCGATATATGGTGCAATGAATTATCAATTCTTCTTTGAAGATGGAGTAGGAAACATTGTCGACGAAAATGGCAATGACCTAATGGACATTGAAGGTGAAGATCCTTTCAAGTTGGAAGAATTAACGTCTCACATGTTTTATATTAAAGCGAGATCAAAGACCTGTGAAGTATTAGCAAATGAAGATAATATTGTTCAGTATATTATAGAGGTGAATTATGTAACAGCTGAAAGTGCCAAAAATATTCCCAAAGAAAGCAAAATAAAACTTCGTAGCCGTGACGAACTGAAAGTTCATGCAGTTCATCTCGTTGACATTCACCCAAGAAATAGTGCAGGGGTTATCACTTTGGAACTTAATTTGCAGCCAAGAAATGTTCAAAGATGGTACAAAGCTTGGACACAAAATGGAGATTCTTTATTTAAGAAGGTTGGGAGACCACGTATTATAAAACCAGAGGGTAAGCTTGCCGTGGCCACCAAGCATATAGTCTCTGGTTTTTACTTCAAGTATCCTACTGCTACTGTAGACCAACTTATCAACAAGCTGACTGACGATTTTGAAGATTTTTCTATAAAATTGATGAAAAAATTAGTGAGGAATTTGACAAATTGGAAAATTTAGTAAGAATAATGTTTTAAAACAGAAAATTAAACTTTATCATTGACGGTTTTTATATATTAGACTTCCTTAAATGAAATATACGATCATGTCCGAAATATAGATCATTGTCCAGTAAATGATCCTCTTATAGCATGGTTGTCTCTAACTGTTACTACGTTATCGCTTTTATTTTTACAAAAAGACAGTAGAACAATACATGCTTCACTCGAGTCTGATCAGTTGTATCGGTTATGGTTTTTTTTGAATACTATTTTCGATAGTTCATCCATAAAATCAATTGGGTAGGTGACTGCAGAATATATATGATTTTTTACTAATGTGTTATATAGCAAAGAAAAGTCGAGTTATTCGAACTCAAATGCTAAAAATGCCAAAAGGAAAATAGCTGCAATTGAAGAAATGGCTAGTAAGAAAATGGGTAGAAAAATCGATACCATTTATGCAGGTGTTAACTTTGAGTTTGGTGCTCTTGAAATTGGAAGTAAAGATGACCAAACAAAAGAAATAAAAGATGGTAGATTAAAGCTTCCTTTTGTAATGAAAGATATTTTGCTGAATATTGTTTGTAAGGTTCCAGGTGTATTAAATAAAGTGCATATAATAGGATACTGTATTAATGGTAAGTTAAAGCGATCTTATTTATCCTTTGTAATATTTCTTTTAGTTGCTGTTCCGTGTATAACTGTTCTTACTTTAACTAGGTAATAAGCTTGAATTTTTAGATATGGATTGTCCTCAAGGATATGTAACGAGAGTTCGAAGATTGAATCAAATGGAGTATCCAATAGATTCAATAGATTTCATAAATCGTTTACGCCCTCTTATGGAAGTGGCTTATATTGATAAATTTATCATGGAACAAACTTGGACAACTATTAAAAGTATAAAAATCCCCTTGTCCAGTTCATATGGAGCACTGATTTAAACATCTTTAACCAATCAAATCTCTTTAAACTTGTATTAGTAGGACTAAACAATTTTCTCTTTTAAATACATTTTGTTCTTTGTTATTTTTGCCAAAACATCCAAACCATTTTTCCGCTCACTGTATTTTGTTTGAAGACTTTCATAAAACTTCATTTTCTACTTCACTAGACCATGTCATATTTTCAAGAAACTAACCATAAGAATTGGGATTTAGTAGAAGCTATAGAATCAAAATTAAGTAAGAAAACTTTCAATTCATACCAACAACTTTTTGATTCTATTCGAAATGATTTGGAACGGTTTGACAACAGCACAGCAATCAACTGGAAGCACGACTGGACGGTAAGTTGAGCAACTTTATTACAATTAGGAACTAAACTTGACATGTATTTGTTAGAGAATAACAAGAGAGTGTTTATTAAAATTAAACCCTGAGGCTTCTTCATCCTCTTCTTTTCAACCATCGTAAGTACATATACCTATCCCTTCTTATGCAGATCGAAACTAATTCTATGCTATTTTACGCAACAATCTTTATTTTTAAGTGTGAATTTTGAAGCAGATATTGCTTCAAGCTTTATTAATAAAATACAAGAAGATTCACATACACATAAAAAGGTAACTATTTGTTTGGTTTTTAAAATGTATCATTTTCACTGACATTAATTTCTGCATAGGCTAAAAGGTGATATACCCTCTATCCTATATATCCTAATTACTGGAGCTAACTTTTAATAAATCTGTAGAAAGAATGACGATACTAGCAGTGAAGATTCAAATAGTAAAAAGCAAAAGCATTCGGAAACAAGGTAATCTTTCGATTGTCCCTATAAATTTAAATAACTTGTAGCATTGATGAAGCAGTATTTATTTAGCATGATATCATCAGAAGAACAGTTTGTTTCTTCACAAGAATTGGAATCTTCATTGTACACGATTAATACTGAATCCACTGAAGTAGACTTTGACATAATGATGCCTTATGTAAGTAAATTGGCATTAAAAATAATCTGCGATACTTTATTTATACTGTTAGTTATAGTTTTTTTTTTCAAAGAGGAAAACTTTAGTAAAGTCTGCTTCAATTTTAGAAATGAATGCTTGCGACAAGAGTTGGTATTTGAAAAACTGCCTGTTATTAAAAAAATGGCAATAAATCATGTTTACTTAGTTGAACATGATCCAATAAACTCTGTCATTCACGTCCAAAATGATTTTTTCGTACAATTTGGTCTGAATGAAGCATATCCTGTATTGATGAAAGAAGATATAGATGCTATTATTAACATTAGTCAAGTACGTGTAGATAAAAAAAAAGTGCGACATTATTTTACTAATTAGTTTGATATATCTAATAGAATCTCAATGTTAATGATAAAGAGAATGCAATGAATACAGCATTGCAACACTTGATAAAGCATAATAATAATCCAGTAGCAAAAATTATGTATAATTTGTAAATATCTAACTTTTCCAATTTCTATTCAATAGCACTAAAACAAATCTCTCTTTCATAGGCTTAATAATTATGATTATGCTGAAAACGTGTACAGTGACTCACAAAAGTGTGGCAATGATTTATAATTTTTGGCTTTCCTTAATGCACAACATAAATGAATAAAGATATACTAATAAAAGAATTTTTTAATGGAAAACTGACAGAATTTACGTTATTTTTATAGCTTCTTAACCCTCACTTAAATGCATGAATGTTCATTTCGACAATAAATTATGTCGTTTTATACGATTTAGCATTTTAGATACAATATTTTTTTTATTTAAATCATTTAATATTATTATTGAATTAACAAAAAGTTTATTTCGGTTTTCTCTCAAATTCATTACTAATCTGAACAACATTTGTGCATCATTCCCATTAACACATAGGTCATCACATACATTAGATCGAGACCAATTCCTTACGATAAAAAGATGGATATTTTAGAAAAACTTAATGCTAAGGATCTTATAGGATATTTCAAGGCAATGGGATGTCAACTAGGACAATTGGTAGAATTGACAAAGAAATCCAAATTGAGATTAATGTAAAAGGTAGACAAAGAATATTAGCCCATTACTCGGAGGATTGATTGCGCGATCTTTTTATACTGGTCTTTTATCACTGCAGTGGACGCTGCCCGGAACTTACATGGTCACTGATATGATATTTTTAAGGGCCATGGACTATGTAAGAAAGTTGCAAACCTTCAACAAGACAATGATCCGAAGCATACATCCAAATACACAACAAATTGGTTCAAGAAAAATGAGATAAATGTCCTTAAATGACCATGATATCCACCTGATTTAAATCCAATTGAAAACTTTTGGTTTTATTTGAAGTACAAGCTTGCTACCTATGATAGACCACTAAAAAAACACGCATGAGTTATGGGAGCGAGTTTCTGATGTTTGGTATAATAAAGTTACAGCCGAATTATGCTTAAAACACATAGAAAGCATGCCACGACGTGGAAAAGTAGTAATAAACATTAAAGGTGCATTATTTATCTCATTTCTCAAAAAAAAAAAAAAATTATTTGCATAAAATTTATATACATACAACTTTTAACATGATTTTTAAAGTAGAAACATTATATAGTGCATATATGCTATAGGTATCATAAAAAAGAGGAGACTTCTGTCTTTCTGCTAGTATATGCTATATAGTACTTTACTTAATAAATAGATGATTTGTTATTGCGGATTTGCTTAAATTATCTAAAATTCTGGAACATTGCCACACTTTTGTGAGTTACTGTAAATTATTTTCCTTAAATACAGATATTTCTTCTCCTTTTTACAATTTACATTATATTAACATCCAATTAAAAATCTTATTGTTGATAAATGGTTTTATGATTATTATCCTAATCAACAACAACAATAAAAAAAAGAAAAAAAAATATCAATTCTAGAATAGTTGAGGCGCTGTAGTGAGACACTATAGTGACACACTGCAATACCTTTTATGTACAAATAAATTGAAGAACAGCAGACACATTTATAATCGCCGACAATACACAAAAGGAAATAAAGCATATAGAAACAGTTTTACGCAGAAGAAATTTCAAAATAAAATGAATTTAAGCAATATATTAATAAGCAAACAAAATGCAATATACACCATAGCACATACATCTAAGAAACCATTGGAAAAATATTCCTAAAAAGGAAACTGCGGTGTTTATAAAAATCGCATTTAGCGCTCCGCCCCAAATTTAACTTAATATAGAAGGAAGGAAAAAATAAATAAATAAATAAATAAATAAATAAATAAATAAATAAATAAAGGAAAAAGGAATGGAGATAGATAGACAGACAGATAGAGAGAGAGAGAGAAAGAGAGAGAAAATAAAATCAGACAAGATAGAATAAGATTGCTTGCAAATGACAGGTAAAAAATAGAGGAATAGAGTTTACTACATTATATTATATTATATTATATTATAATATAATATGTTATGATATGATATGTTATATTATGATATGTTATATTATCTTGGAGCATATATTTATATAGTAGAATGAATAAATGAACAGTTATTACTATTAGACTAAATTACTATTAATACTGCTGCTATTGCTATTACTCATATATGTGTGTAATTTTTTTTTTTCTGATAAATAACAGTAGTCTTTTGTAATAAAATAGCATAGCATATTTATATGTATGCTAAATATGTATTTGAGATATTATTGGAATATACTAATGAATTAATAGCAATCAAAGCATAATAATACTGGTTAAAATTAGCTAAAACTAGCTAAAACTGGCTTATATGCTTATTATTAATTCTATTATATGTATTTTATGCATTTTCAGTAAAAATATCAATTATATAGTTACTTTTATACGGTATATATCTATTAATTTATTATTATATAGCTACTATCACCTAGACAACTTTAACTTTTTTTTTTCTGACATTAATTTTAATGCCTAAAATGGTATATAATTAGCTGAAGGCCAACGGTAGTCATAGACAACACACATATATATTATACTATGCTATTACATCATCCTCATTTTATGATTTAATAAGGGGAAAATCATATAAATCATATAAGTTATATAAGTTATATAAGTATATAAGCCATATAAATCATATAAATCATATAAATCATATATAATAGAACTTGAACATTTGCTAAGATTTAGATTGAATCAGATCAGATTAGATCATTTATTGACAACTCATTTCAAGTAATGGAGTGTAATTATGACTCAAACATCTAGATTTTTTATTTTTATTGTCATTTTCTCTTTTATTATATATAATATTATATTGGTTCCTTATTGTTCCTGAATTATTTTAGTACCCTCTAAATTATATAATTTAATTTGCTTGTATCAGCACTGTCAAGACAAGATTGAAATACCGCACATATAATTTAAAAAAGAAGTCAATCAATCCATACATACACATGTGTATTATTTATTCTCTCATAATATCAATAATGTAAGGAGTGTTTGTATACGTCATCTTTTCTTATCTTTATTTGTTGTTTATTTCTACTTTTTTTTTTCTTTTGTTTTTTTTCCATAACCCCAGTTATTTAAAGAAAAAAAAAAGAAGTGTATTTCTTTTAGCTTTATATCTTTCAACTATACATGTAAAAGATGGTATATACAGATATAATACATAAAATGAAACGATAGAGGTATTATATAAAATAAAATAAAAGGGAACAGAGTGAAATAAAAGATAAAATGTACTTACACGTATTTATTTCAAATATGTATAGACATATATATAGACATATATATATAGACATATATATTATAGATTAGTCTTCTGGCTTCTTCTTTTATATTGATGCTAATGCTAAAGGTTTATTACGTCTTCTATTTCATGGTAATCCTATATTAACTGTTTTAAAATACATATTTATCTATTCATGTGTACAAATAGACATAGCTCTCAAAAAATCCTAGCGCTTATCTTGTGGCATACAATATTAGATCCGTTCCTTTCCAACTACAAATGGTATGCAAGCTTTTTGTAATTTTAGAGATTGCCTAGGGGTAGCATCCACCTTCTTAACTACTGCTTGAATCATGTTTTCCACCAAAGATGATATGGGGCATCCCCCCAGACGAACGTAACGGAAAAAAAAAATTCAGTGAAAAAAAAAAAAAAAAATAGTAGGTATATTGGTGCAGTGGAGTAGAATAAAGTAAGTAACTATCAAAAAATACAATTTCCTCAATTCTCTGGGGGGGATAAAAGGAGTTGAGCACGAAAGCTCTGTCGATTAGGATAAAAGCATATCATATATATATTATATATACGGCTTATATATATATATGTATGCCGCAAGCCGCTAACAAACTCTGAATTACAAGAAGTCCACTGTGTATCATTTAGCAAAAAGGCCTTTACATCACTCATACTTTAGACATCAGGTTTTTTCTTTTTTATCAGGTTCGTTTATATTTTATATCTTTATATCTTTTACTAAAGTCTATAAATAATGAGGGAAAAAAAAATGAAATACTACTGCTGCTGCTACTTCTATTGAACTGCTACTACTATTGAATTGCTGCTTCCATTGGTTTGCTACTTCTATTAAACTACTGCTTCTATTGAACTACTACTTCTATTAAACTACTACTTCTATTGAACTACTACTTCTATTAAACTACTACTTCTATTGAACTACTACTTCTATTAAACTACTACTTCTATAATATTTTGTTCAAAATAAATTAAGCTTATAAAAATCATTCTTGAATTATCTTTATCAGTATACTCATACATAATAATAGTAATCATAATAAAGACTTCTTACATACTGTCTTTCCTTTCACTTAATATAATTAAATTCATCAATCTTCTTAATTCAAATAGTAAATTTAAAGTAAAGATGAGTTACCAAAAGATCAATATTAGTTTAAATTTATTAAACTACTTTTAAACACTTTTCAAAAGACAAGTATCCGCCCCAAATTTAACTTAATATAGAAGGAAGGAAAGAATGAATGAAGGAAGGAAGGAAGGTAGAAGAAGAAGGAAGAGAGAGAGAAAAAAAAAAAAAAATAAAATAAAATAAAACTAAAATAAGACAAGATAGAATAAGATTGCAAAGGACAGGTTGTTAAAATAGAGGAATAGAGCTTACTATGTTGTATTATGTTGTATTGTATTGTATTATATTATATTATATTATGTTATGATATGATATGATATGATACGTTATATTATGATATTTTATGTTATCTTAGAGCATATATATACTATATGAACAATGAACAATTATTAATATTAGACTAAATTAATATTATGAATGATAGAAAAAAGACGATGCAAGTTTATTATTGCCAGCACCAAATATTATATGGTGTATAATACAATTAATTATGCTTAGATATGTAATATAACAGTTAAAATGTAAGTAATAGAATTATATGTAATATATGACTACAGTACATTAAAGTAATGATCAAAATAAACTATATATTGTATTATATAGTTTAAAATATAAGAAAAAATAAATTCCGGAGACATAGGCGTAAGTGAGAGTAGTTTAATTAGAAAAAAAATATATTTGTATATGTTATGTACAATCAAACTTTACCCTCTACTAGGTTGAGATAACGTTCAATTATTTATTGTTGTTCCTTGTATATAACCATTTACTGCGTCTTTTAATAGTTGTATCCTTTAAGGATTTATCATTGATCTTTAATTTTGTTTTTTGCTGTAATTCAGGTACCTGTTTCGAATATTCATTATAGTTTTGTAGCGCTTTAATAGACTTATCAATTTTATGAAAATTCTTAATAGTATCTGTGTAATTTAAATGTCTACTATTTTTATAGAATTTATAATCTTTCCATAATTTACGTCTCCAATATGTTTTGATAGTAAATTTATGTACGATTTGATTAGGGGTACCCAAGAATCTTCATTCTTTGTACTTTATGTCTTTTACAGGTACCCTTATGATCTAATATACCTTCTATATCATATATGTCTTCATTCTTATTATTATTGTCAATACAATCTTGAATAATTTCTGGATATTAAAATCTAGTTTCATATCTTAAAGTACATAATAACCACCTCTTGTTTTGCGTACAACAGAGTAGGAGCTTCGTAACATGGTGTTAAGAATCCTTTTAGAGTTGGTATTTTGATTATTACTTATGTACCAGGTTTGAAATCTTTAATAACGTTTTTTTTTATTTATTTAACGTACTTTTCTTTCATGTCATTTATATATTTGTTAATTATACCCTTTATAGGAGAAATACCACTTCTGATATATGATCTATTCAATCTGTTAATTGCTTATATCTTATGGTTTTATTATTTTTATCTTTATCTTACTGTAATCTTTAAAAGGATTCATTTTTATGGTCAAACATTAAATTAAATGGAGGCATATTCAATCTTTTTTTTTTTTTTACTTTATTATTCATAGCTAACTGTACGCCGGGAGCAAACAAATTTCATTCATGTCCAGTACACCTTCAACTGCCTTTGTCAAAGCTAATTTTACAGTTTAGATATATCTGTTATATAACAAGCTCTGAATATAATCATAAATAATATTATAAAAGATAAATTACATATTACAGGATAAACTATAAGCCTGAATATATAACAAAAGATATTATATCTGACTGTATATAACATCATGTAAACAACATAAAACTTAATGACATTCAATCATCTAAATGTATCAACTAAATAAGATATCGTATCATTCCTAAATATTTATTTTTTATAACTTTGATAAAGGATTGAGGTCGTCTTTGATCCAATAAAATAAAAATGTATAAGACATCAAGAACATATACTCAAATCATACAATTATTTTTTTTTATCTAAAGCTTAATCAGATTATTATAACACGCAATAGATAATCCATATAAATCAGTAGCTTGAATCAACACAATGTATATCTGAATACTAACACTGTTTTATGATTTATCCTTTTTTTTTTATATATATAGTTATTTCTATTTCTTTGGTTCAGAATCCATTGGTATAAATACGAATAGTTATCTAGACATGAAATAATCTTTATCTTTAATTCTTTTATTATAATTTTTTTTTCTTTACATTGAATAAACAGTCTCAAACTATACTTCCTTTTGTTTTCTTTCTCTTTCTTTTTTTTTTTCCTTTTTCTTTTCTTTTTATTTAATCTTTAAATTATACCATCACAGTTTCAACTTTATCATATGGATGTTTATTTTTTCCTTGTATAAGTTAGTTATAGAGTTGAAAGTCATAGATTTTTTTTTAACTATAGTGAGAGAAGAATCAGAAGCAGGATGCTTTTTTTTTTTTTTTTTTGTGATAGCAGAGGTGTTTTACTCGTCATCTGTGTCTATCCTTTCAAATGAAGGTAGATCAAACGTAGATTATTATTAATTCTTTATCACTTCCTCAACATTATCCTTTATTTTCTGTCCCTTAGTGTTCTTAACCTTGGTAGAACTTATAGGATTATCAAAAGCAGGAGTTGTTTTAGGATTAACCATGTTCGACCAAATAGCAGTTTGAATTCACGAAAAAAAAAGTTGTCTAATAATATAAGAATATAAGTAGGCAAAATAAATCGTAAGACACTGGCACAAGTGAAAATAATTTTATTTTATTAAAAAAAATATATCTTTATATAATGAACAAATTTAACCTAACAAATTATTGTTATGTGGATGGAAAAAGAACGAAGTATAGTGCAGGCAAAATAAGAGTTTGCGAGAATTTGATTTAGTTCATATCGAGTATTAGGTTCAAACATTTTTTTTTCGAGCACGAATTATATATCCATACTATAAATCTATAGTATTAGAAATGTTTGCTCCAAAGGGTATAGTAATAACTACTTTGAAATTACACGTTCAAGATACAGCTATGGTCTATCTTTTATTTTTATTTTATTTCTTTTTTTTTTTAAGATGCTTCACCTTATTATTATCAATAATCTTCTTCTTTTTCTAAACGTTACTATAAAAAAATAATAGAAGATAGATTTTAGTGATATGTGTGGTGGTATAGATTATATTAGAAACTGCAAAAAAAAAAAAGACTTACAGCAGATAAAGAAAAAAAATTGTTAAAGACTATAAGTTAGAAGACAGCATTGGTATTTAAATGTGTACGTCTAATTGATTTGAATAACTGATCTGCGAACTATCTATTATATGCTATAATTATGTAATAATTTGTATTAAGTTTGTAATAATAATAACAATAAATTATTATTGTTCGGTTTGAAGTATAAGTTCCTAATATCTTTAATATTTTCTCTCTTCATTTTATTATTATTATTTAATCTAAGACAATACAAATCTTTTATTAAGAATTAAACTAAATAAATAAATATTCTAAAACTAACATGAAGTTTCTTGTTGACTTGTGTCTAGATAATTGGAAGTGAATAAATTTTATAATATTTACTCAACGTGATAATATTAATAGTAATATACAGAATTATATAAATGACAGCAGCATCATCGTCTTATTTATTTTCTTTTCTTTTATTCTATTTATTTAATTATTATTATTTTTTTTATGTTCATAACACAGGCTATTAACTAGAATTTCCTCTGTGTTAATAATAATACAATGATGCTGCTGTCATTTATATTATGATTAATTAAATACTTAACATAATTATTTTAATTAATTGTAAATTCAACATAATGATCGTTCACCTAATAATAATTAAGCTTATATTCCAATAATGAATAAAACACATAAAAAAAAAAAAAAAAGGCTAATATTATTAAAAAATAAAAAAAAATAAAAAAATATTTTAAAGATTAAAAAATTATTGTTAAAAGAAAAAGAAAGAAATAAAGTTGGAGAAGCTGGGCGTCGATCCCAGTGCCTCTCGCATGCTAAGCGAGCGCTCTACCATTTGAGCTACATCCCCCCCCCTTTTTTCCGCTATTTATTTTTTTGGTTGTTTTTAAACCCAGATTAATAAAAAGTCGATTTTCAACACGTTATTTCTCGACAACTAGAAGTCATCCATCGCTCAAACTAGCACCATTCGAAAGATATTTAAAAGGTTCACCTACTGAATTTTTTTTATTTCGATCCGACCACTTTTTGTTCACTTTTTTCACATTCATTTCTCGACATTTTACGTTATTTTTCTCTTTGACGCGTAATATCTCGAGAACTAGACATCGCACAAGCCACATCTTTGCAAATTTAAAAAGCTTGAATTTTTCTGCATCATATATATCAATTTCAAGTCAATCGGTTAACATCTGCCCATTTCTTAATTTTAATTATTGGAATTGCGTAATCACCATTAACGAAATGAGCATGAACACTAATGTTGACATCTCATCCATCATGAATCAAATTGCTGTACTAACAGCAAGGGTAAGTGAGCATGACAAACTTATGGAACGTTTCGCTGCTATGGAGGAGCAAATTTCCTCATTAAAGAGCAAGAATCAAGACCTAGAGCGTGAAAATGCTGCCCTCCGTGCCCGCCTGGCTGAAGCCTCGGTCAGTCCCGCTGCCCCCACTGGAGCCCCCGCTGGAGCCCCCGCTGGAGTCCCTGCCGCCCCTGCCGCCTTGCCTGCCGCCCAAGGTACTGCTGCCTCTATGTGGAGTACTGTTGCCGCCCGTGCCCCAAAGGCCCCAAAGAGTTCTCCAAAGACTCCTAAGGTTAAGAAGGCGTCACCTAAGCACCGTGAAGCTATTGTACGTGGCTTCAATGAAGTCACAGGTCCTACTGGGTACACAACTGTGTACATTAACCGCTCCCGCCGATTCACCAAGACTGAAGTAAGGCGTAATCTCCGTCTCCTCGGCGCCGAACCTCGCCGTATCATTGACGTCTCGTTCCCTGCCCGCAACATAATTGGCTTGTTGATCCATAGGGGTTTCCAAGAAGAGTTTGAGCAACTCTTGTCCACTGCCAAGGTCTCCGTCATCAAAAACTTTGATCCTTTGGACCCTGTTCATGTTGCTGACCCAAAGTACAAGTCTTTGGATGTCTCCTCTCGTTCGGACGTTGCTCTTCGCCTCCAGAACCAACGTTCTATCTTGTCTCTTCAGTACTTGGCTAAGTACCGTGCCCCCTTGTTTGCTCCCGTTGCTCGTGAGTACCTGAATCAAGGTTGGATCTCTGAAGAGGACTTACCTTCTCTGGCTCCCCGTAATGCTCTTGCTTCCTGGGATGATGTGGATTCCTTTTCTGTCTCTTCTCTTGCTGCTGGTCCTACTGACACCGAAATGCTCGAGGATTATTAATGAGTGCGTCAACCACTCCTCTTAATAATGCCTTTCCTGACTCCTCTCCTTTTCTTGTCTCCCATTCCTCTCCTTTGTCTCCTTCTTTCTCTTCTTCCGCCTCCTCCTCCATCCCACTCACTATCGGCCTGTGGAACGCTCGCGGTCTTCGGGAATCAACGATAGATGATGTCCTCCGTTTCTGTCAGTCCTTTTCTGTGGTGTTTATCACTGAAACTTGGCTTCTCCCTCCTTGTCGTCTCCCAACAACTTGGCAACAATTCCATCTTCCTGGTGTCCCAGTCTCTGGTGATTATCGTGGCTCTCAAGGTATCTGTTGTCTTGTTAATCCTTCTTGTCCTCTTCCCGCATTTGAAGTACCTCTCCCTGGTAATCAGTTCGCACTTGGTATTCAACTTGGTCGCCATTTGCGTCTGATTTGCTTGTATCTCCCGCCTGACCAGCCTACAATGAGATGTTCGGATGTGTCTTCAGTGCTTTCTTCTCTTCCTCTGTCCCATGATACCATCATATGTGGTGATCTCAATGCCCGTCTTGGTGATATTACTGGTGACTCTGGTTCTAACTCTCGTGGTGCCACGGTTCTTGACTGGTGCATGGATAACAACTTGTCCATCTTGAATCGACACTTGTCCTTTGGTGTGCCCACTCTTGTTGACTTTCGTCGTGGTCGTCCTGTTAGTAGTATAGTAGACTACTTTATCACTAACTTGGTGCCCTATGATGCTTCTCTCCCTTCTGCTTCTTTAACGGTGGCTTCAGATCTGTCTTTGGGCTCTGACCATAAGCTTATGTCTCTATCCTTTGAGTACTGTCCTCCTCAAGCCTCTGTGGTTCATCCCTCCCCTACTACCTCTTCTGCTTCTTTGTCAAGCTTTCGTCGCTGCTGGAATCTGTCCCGGTTAAAAGAACCTGATGTCTGTGATCTCTTCTATCACAAGTTTGCTTCTTTAGCCTTTTCTTTAGTCCAAGATCTTCGTGCTCTTGTGTCCTCTCCTCCCCGTTCTCGCCCAGATATTGATGCCATCAATCAACGGCTCAATGATGCCATTTACACGGCTCTGGATCAATCAGTTGGTGCTCGTGCTCAACGGCCGGCCCATTGGAAGAAGTTCTGGACTCCTGACCTCCAAGAAGCTGCTGATCGTCGTGAACGGTATTATCGTCGGTGGAAACACTCTCGTAGTGCCATGGACAAGATCTACTGGTGGAATATGCATGTTGAAGCTCATGCAAAGTTTAAGCAAGACCTTCGTCGGGCTAAACAAGTCTCTTGGCGTGCTTTCTGTGACTCCCTCGAGAAAGATGACTTTGGTACCGTGGTCCTTCCTAAGGTAAAGCGGATCAAATCTCGTAGGCAACGACAATCTGGCTTTGTCCATCCGGATGGTGACTCGGCAGGTGCAATCGCTTTGCGGGACCACCTTGCTTCTGTTTACTCTGGTTCGTCCCTTCCTTCTGTTCGTCCTCCTACTCTTGAGGTTAGTCCTGACTCTCTTCCCTTTTCTGTCTCTTTACCCTCTTGTGGTAACTCTGGCTCCTCTCCTGGTGATCTTATGGCTATTGATGACGATGGTTTCTCTGAGGTCATTCGTGTTGACAACATCATTAGTCACATTAAGTGTCTACCTCGTAGAAAAGCTCCTGGTTCTGACCATCTGCGTGCTGAGATGCTGATACCCATCAAGAAGCCTCTTGCAAAGGTTCTCTCTCCTCTCTTCGCTCTCTGCTACCAGTGGTCTTATACCCCTCTTCTTTGGCGTGAGGCTCAAGTGGTGCCTATTCACAAGAAAGGTGATCCTTCTGTCCCGTCCAACTTCAGACCAATCTCAGTTACTTCTATCGTTCGTAAGTTGTTTGAAATGTGTCTTGCTCCTTTTCTTTCTCTTGTCTCTCCTCCTTTGGACGTAGCTCAAGGTGGTTTCCGACCGCAACGAAGTGCTCTGGATCAGGCCCTCTGCTTGCATGACCTTATGAAGGAGTACTTTCGTGTGCATCATCACTGGCCTGTAGTTGCTTTCTTGGATATCAAGGCTGCTTATGACACTGTGGATCGAAGAGTGATTTGGAATTCTCTTTTGTCTGTTTCTGCTCCTGTTGGTCTTGTCTCGTTACTTGCCAATATGTTTGACGATGTCTCCATTTCTGTATTGCTTCGTAATACTGTTTCTCCTCCCTTTTGGCCATCTACTGGTGTGCTTCAAGGTTCAGTCTTGAGTCCTCATTTGTACAGTTTGTACATTAACTCTCTGGCTCCCCTTCTTCGAACTGCTGCGTCTTCTTCGACAACAAGAGTTCTTTCTTCCTCTCCTTCTGGTCCCTTGGTAAATCCTTGGACGTATCCTCCTTCTGGTTCTCTTGCTCCTTCTCCCACGGCTATTAATCTTCTGCTATATGCTGATGATGTTGCTCTCTTCGGGTCTGCTCGTGAGGTAAAACGGATGCTCTCTCTTGCTGAGGCTCACTCTCTGGAACTTGGTTACCGTTGGTCCCCATCCAAGTGTGCTCTCTTGAACCCTCCTTCGTCGACTTCGACTGGATTTGTCCCCCTGAAGCTATATGGTCAAGACTTGCCTATAGTGGATGAGTTTATCTACCTTGGTGTTCCTTTCCGCCGTAATGGCATCTGCTCCTCTTCTGTGGTGCTTAAGGGTAAACCTGGTGCTCTCGCCTCTATGGCTCATCTTCGAGACATTGGTGCAAATCGTTCTGGTTTCTCCTTCCTGCTCTCCTCTCGGCTTTATGCCTCCTTCGTGCGTCCCAAGGTCGAGTATGGCCTAGCCATTACTCGTCTCTTGTCAAAGGACTACAAGGCCCTTGAACGAATCCAAGATACTTGTCTTCGGATGATCTTTGGTGGTCATCGTGCTGCCTCCACTATGGTGTTTATCCATTTGGTCAATCTGCCTTCTCTTCGCTTCCGTGCTGACACCTTGGTGCTCAAGTACTGTCGTCGTGCCTCTTCCCTCCCTGAGGATTGTCTCTTGTCCCTTTTGTGCAGTTCGCTGCCTAATCCCTCTTTGCCTGGTCTTCGGTCCCTTAGAATGGTCCAAGATATGCCTGCTTCCGTTTCTGGTGGTTCCGATGCTGCTGTGGCCAAGTGGTTGGTCAATTACCGTTCTTCTTTGTTCTCTTCTTTCTTGGAGATCACTGATAAAGTGTTGATCCGTGGGTGTCGTCCGTCTCTTGGGGTTGATCCCATCATGCATGTCCCTGCCTCTCGTGCAGATAGATCTCGTCTCGTGCGCTGGCGTATGGGTTGGCTTCCTGGTAAGCCCAAGCCTTGTGCTTGTGGTTTAGACCATACTTCTCGTCGTCACTTGTTACAGTGCTCTTTGGTTCCTGCTTCTCTTTGGGATACCTTGCCTCCTCTTCCGGCTGATTCCCAGATTAATCTGGTGGATCATGCCTTGAATCAACTTCCTCTCTCTCGTTCGTCTCCTTGTCCTCCTTTCTGGGTTGCTCTCTGTCGGATCCTTTGGTACTTTGACACCCTGTGTAATCCCGAAGGGGATTACTCAACTGATCCTGAGCCTGGTCAAGTCTGGTTGCTGTCGTCTTCCCCCGGTGGTAATTAAGTCTTGCTCCTTTGTCCCTTTCCTGCCCGTGGTCGAAAGATAGTGTGGATACCGCCCTCTGGTTCGCCCCTCCACTGCCAAACCCTTCTAGTGCACGATGCGAGGGAGTCCATGGTCTTGAAGCCTATTGAGTAGCCACTTGTTCTCTTTATCACTTTTTCCCTTCTTTCTTTTTTCCCTTTTTTCTTTTGAGGTTCTTGGGTTTTTAGTCCCACCCTCTCGTCTTAATTGATTTGTTTCTTTATACACTTTTTTAGTTTCCCCTTAGTTAGCAATAATGTTTAAAAAAACGAATGCATAATAACTAATAAAGAATATAAATTTTCGCCTGAGCTACATCCCCCACCTTTCTTTCCGCTATTGATTTTTTTCGTCGAATTCACGCTCCGACCGTTTTTCAATAGCTTATATCTCGACAAATACTTATCCAATCAGGCTCAAACTAATTTTATTCAATTTTCCTCGTTCACCTCTACAAAACGATTTTTTGTTTTTTCGAAA